CAACTCCTCCTCAATCTATTAGGCCAACGCTCTTGGCATAGCTGCATCCATCATTTACACAGGCTGTTGAAAATAAGCCCTTGTTTTCACATAGATTTTATTAAATTGTTAGTGTTACACACTTCAGAGGCAGCAGGACCCAGCCTGCTAGGAAAGTATTGTCAGAATCATTTCTGGGCTCACTTTCTGAGCAGTTGTTCCAATATATGTAATTATGAATAAAATAGCCTCTGAAAAGACCTCCTTGGATTCAGAGAGAGATGAGAACAATAGGGTAGAGATTAAAAAAGATGGTTTTTCTCAGCTAATTGTTTTTAATAAAATGGTAAAAGTGAAGAAAACACCAGGAAACTATAATTAGGATGATAATGCTTTGTTCTGCAGAAATATGTGCCCTGTTGCCTCTTCTATTACAGAGCAACAAAGGGAACGAAGTGGAAGGGAAGGGGAAAATGGGAATGAATGGGGGTTGTTAAATACTGGATTGGAAAGGTCAATAATCTTGTCTTGAAGGTAAAGCTGATATAAAAAGCCCTGCAGCAAGGCTGCCCTGAGTGCTGCCCAGCCTGCTCAAAGGGTTACCCGAGTGCTGGGGCTGGTGGGTCTCCCCGGCTGCCCCATGCCGTATGTCCTGGCTGTGAGCACGGCTTGCAAATGCTGCCCGGGGTTTCCAGGTGCTGCTGCTGAAGTCCATGGTTTCTCCCGTGAAAGGAAACCCCTGAGGGCTGGGGGATTTGTATGTTCTTCACGTCCAACTTCTCTTGCAGCTGAAGGCTCAGCCCAGCAGACAGAGGAGGACGCAACCCCTCCATCGCGGGTCCCAGAGCTGCCGCCTCTCTCAGCTCTGCCTGACTCTATGTGCCCTCTCCGCCCCACAAAACATTCCTGATCCTGTTAGATCCTGTTATCATAGAGCTGCCATAACTGTTTACAGCAAACAGTACGTAGGCCTAAAGTAGCCCCTTTCTTGGCCTTGAGTGATGTGCAGGCAGACTAGACTTGCCCAGTGATGCCATGTGACAGTCCTGAGCCACCGTCAGCCTCTCCCCGAATCATCAGGGATTCAGTACATTCTTGTGAGCAGATTTGGTGTGTGATTCACTGTCCAAGCCACTGGAAGATGGTTTTGCTTATGAACCAGGTGGTGTTGTTTTGTCTTTGCTCTAACTGTGGAGATTTTTAGACTGGCCAGCACAGGGCCATTGGGGTGGTTGCTTGTGCCGGTGCTCTTGCAGCTGCTCTTTGCTTTTGGTGAGTTTGCTTGTGAATGGAAACTCACCCGTGTGCAGCTATTAGAAAGGCTTTTTCCTGCTAGTGTTTTGCTGTATTAACTCTTCTTTTACCACTTTGGGGTATGAAACCTGCACTTTTGGGATAGGAGAGAATGACTTTGCCATTTCAGCGTGGACTGGGAGCACTTGGGTCCTGGTGGTGCCACAGCCTTTCCCTGGGCGGGTGCCTCACTGGTGACTCATTTGCCTTTCCCCCACCCTGGGATGGTAGCAAACTGCTACAGAAACCAGTGATTCTGAAAGCCCGTGTGTGCGTTTGTGGTCCTCACCTGAAGGATAAAAGCCAGGGCTGTTGTCTTTAATTGGGCTTCCCAGGGGAGGTTGTTGTGCCCCCAATTAACCCATTGCATAATAACCTGTGGAAATAAGTGGCCTGGCCTTGGGATGGGAGAAAGGCCCTCCTGGCCAGTGTCTGTCATTTGCTTTAGAAGGGCAGGTTGTGTCTGCCTTTGGGGACATCAACCGTGGTCAAGGTGGCAGGGAAGCAGGGTCACCTCTGCTGCAGTGTGACAAGGAGGGCACAAGGGCAAGGGATCCCCAGAGGGCTTTATATGCAAGTATAGAGAAATTCGGTTTTCCTTGGGCTAAAGGACTCTGTGGTACCTGGGCAGCTTAAATTCATAAGGGAGCAAAAGCTGAGTTACTGAAGGGGAAAGGAAAGCTTTGGACACGTCTGGGGTTTCTTTTTGTTACGCTCATGTCTGGTGTCTAATTACCACTCCGGAGCAGGAAAACATTTCTCATCCAACAAGCCCCCCTGCTTCATCTCCCCCAGTCAGACCAAATTTCACATCTATGAAATCAGTAAAGTAAATCAGAAAATAGTATCTTTCCCTAAAGAAGAACGAGAAAATCCTTTCAGCCTCATACCAAGAAGCAAGAAAGGTCATAAAATTGAAACATTCTAAAATACTCTGGATCACATTTAGCAGCTGTCACAGAGCAGCAGGGAAGTGCAAAGTGTAGTTATTGCTTATTTTAGGTACTTCATATTGTTTGTTTTGTTTCTTCCAGACTCTGAATAGAAAATGATGCAAGTTTGCTCTGTGACAAAGGAAGAAAATTTATACTGATAGGTTGCTGAGGTGCACCTGAGAAGCCAAGCTGACAGGGGAGAGCTAAAGTCTTTCCCTATGCTGGCAGACTTTCTTGACTGAGTCATGTAAGAGTATGAAACCTCTCAGTCCTCTGCCAGCAAAGTGCTGGTGATTTCAGATATATTGTTTGAATCCAGCCATCAGAGGACAGGCAGAGACCACCAACACTCTCGCCCCAAACAGTCTTTTTCAAAGGGAAAAATGTTGGTGGATTCTCACCACGGTGATTATAGGGGATTATTCTAGGATTCTCAGAAGAATCTGAAAACCAATCTTTCTAAGTTATTTCTGAATAGCTATTGAATGGATAATTTCCATACCCATTATCAAAATGATGTGCTGGCGGTGAAATTTAGCTGTATTGTATTTGATCAGTAATTGGTGAAATGTTTTCCTAGGGTTAAAAGTAGTGTCGGCAACAGCTCTGTGTAGGGATTTACAAGGTGTTTAGATACATTTTTATGTATTCAGTTGCTTTATGCTATCCAAATGCTTTGATGGTGTGGAGAAAGCTAACGGGATTTATCCGAGTATTTAAAGACAAACTGAAAAGACTTTTACCTTCTAAGACCCAAGTTCAGAGTTGCATTGCTTCTGTGAGCTGTTGATGACACAACTAACATTTTAAACAATGTACAATGTTAAAATCTTGATCATTAGTGACTTGCAAGTCTGGAGAAAAGAGCAGGCTCAAAAGCAATCAATGTAAATGCACAGAAAGTAAAAAAAAAAAAAGGATAAAAGAGTAAAAACTTTCCTTATCTTAGATTTTCTTTCAGTCCGTGGCAGTAATGACTAACATTACGACGTATCTTTGGTTTTATCTTGGATCACGTGAAATAAGAATTTGGTAAAATGTCCCCCAGTTTTTCAATTGAAACAAAGAGAATGGACTAAGATAGCAGAGAGTGGGGGGAAAAAAGTATATAAGGAAGGAAAAAACCCTATAATTTCCAGTTAAAGGTGAACTGAAAAGCAGAGCTCTCATTTAACCCTGGTTTTTCATTTCAGTAATGTGACAAGCACGGGGTGGATACGAGTGCATCAAGGCAGGGACAGGCAGGAGACAGGCAGCACATTGGCCTGAGCTTTAAAAATGTTTCTATGTTGCAGTAGGGAGCCGGGGTTGAAAGCAATTTCCTGGAATTACATCTCCCCTGTGAGGTGCTGGCAAAGGGACAGAGCTGAGCTGCTTCAGGACTGAGAAGGGCAGTAAGACAAAATCAACACATCCATCACAGCACAGAGATCCCTCCATGTTCTCAGTGGAAATGAAATATCTTTCCTTTAATCTCTGCATGGCCAGTGTGTGTTGGTTCACTGCTTTTCTCTCCTGCATTTTGGATCCAACACTGCTGGCTCGTGCTGGTGTGTAAAACCATAATGTGTTGCTGTGTGGATGGAAGGTCAAGGTCCTGGAAATGGCAGAGCACCCCAAGTTCCCCACCTGAGGCATCTCTGTGGCTCTCCTTCTGGAAAGAGCTGATTCTTAGATGAATATTTAACTATTCCAGATTTTAACTACCTGCTGAAAAAAAAAAGCCCCTCTGATTGTTAAATCCGCTACATCCTAGACAAATATTTAAGTGATGTTTGATTTTAGGGCAGTCTGTCTGTCTCTCCTGGGGTCCTGTGGCCCTCTACAAGTTCTGGGTGGCTGAGTCCTACAGCTGGAGGGGGTGATGCACAGAGACTATGTGACTTGCCTGAGGCCAGAAAGTCTGTAGCTGTGGAAGGAATTGGAACCTGGTTGCTCAGTTGTTGGTCTGGCAAAATGGATCTGGGATCGTTCTTCCTCTTTGAGCAATGAGAAAATTTAATACCTTTATAAATAACCAAATAAAAAGGAAGACAAATATTATTTTAATATTCCCCATTATAATATATAGCTCTTGGAGCCACTGTAAGCAATGAAGTCAGATATTATAGATTAATGGAAGCTAAGCTACCTAATTTACCACCAGGCTAGATAGTGTAAAACAAAGCTTTGCATTAACTATGTAGTGATTTTAAAAATGTTTCAGACTGATATCAACACTTTTTAATTGCATTTTTGAGGTGAACTCGCTTAGATTCAAAACACTGTATCTGCAGATTCTTCATTCTCTTATTTTAATGTGTATTTAGTGATGACATTTCCTGTGACAAATCTCCCTGGTTTTGTCTTTGGTGGCTCTCTCATACTGCTCTGCTTTTCTGGTGTCTGGTGATCCCTGTGGGCATTCCTGTGCCAGGGCTGGCCCCTTCAGAAAATAGTTGGAGAGGGGAAAAAAAATGCAACTCATCCATCTTGGATACCTTGACACACACATAGCTGAGGGGAGCTGCCAAGGGGAAGCATTTCCATACACTCTCCTTGTCAGAAGAGTAAGCAGGCTGAAAAAGTTGGATGTGCACAGTAAGTGGAAGCTGACCCGGGCAGCCTTGATTTACATAGCACACACTTGGGACCTGCTCATTACCACAACATCCCCCTAATCATCACCTCTGCATGATGGGCACAGGGATGTGAATATGCCCCGGGATCCCCAGCGCTTCATTTTTCCAAGCAGCACCCAGCCTTTTGCAGTTATTGTGATATGACAGATGCACATATCATTGAAAGCAGGTCTTGCATGGCATTACACAATGTAAATCAATAATGTGAAAATACAGCCGTTAACACAATGTACAGTTTTGCCTATTACTACAATGCCCTGCTTGTTCCAAAGGAAAAGCAATTTTATGCTCCACTGAAGCATGGTTTGCTTAGCCTTCAACTAGCGGCAAATGCCAGATACTGCAAAATGTTATTGTTACGCAAGCAGTGTCCTGGATTTATTTATACGTATCCATGCAAAGACTAATTTCAACAAGGACTAGGACTGGAGCCCCTCTGAATATGGGCCTGAACTGCTCTGACCCTGCATTTCCAGCTCTGCTGCCTCTTCCTGATCCAGCGAAGCTGCACAGTCCTGTGCACCTCACTGTGCCTGCCCTTCTTTTGAGCAGGGATTAAATTCTCCCGGGTTTTAGGATATCCTAGCACACAGTGGCACCTCTCAACCCAAAAATCAGCCACCCCAAATATAGCTCTATGTGCCTGGCTCACACACTGCTCTGGTTGCTTTCCCTTTACCTCCACCATAGTATTCTTCTTCTTGGATATGGGACTTGGCTGCCTCCGTGCATGGCAGGAAAGTCAGCACTTCTTGGGCACTTCTCATCCTTGTTGGCTGAGCTGTGGGGAAACAGTAGCATGAAGCCTCTGAACGCCTAATTATCAATACAGGCCTCATTGGCTGCTCCCAGTAGAAGTTAATTCCCTTTAGCTGAGGACACAAAAAGAAAAGCTGCAACAACAAAAGAAGAGATCTACTCAGATCACTGGGGTAGCAGGGAAGAGGAGCGATGCTGCTGTCTAAAGGTAACCCCTCCTGACCCTCTCTCAAGGCAGAAGTTGCTCCACATTCACTTCTGAGCCAGGAAGCCTTGATGAGTTTAACCTGTGGTAGAAACAAAGATCCCAGAAAAACATGTTGAGGTGGAAAAGCCATAATTCCTGAGCTTATCAGCTCAGCATAGTGGGGAGTGAAAGGGCACTATCACTTACTCACTGTCTGTGCAGCCATCCTCAGGTATGAAAACTGTCCTGTGCTCAGCTCGGGACAGGATTTGGATTGTCCTGTCGTGCTCAGGTGTGATCTCCAGGAGCAGGTGGGCAGGGATATGGCTGCACCTCACAGCTTGCAGCTCACCTTCCACATTTTCTGGCGGAATTGGTTTCCACTGGAAAAAGTCAGATTTGTCAGAGACAGGCTGTTTAGCAGAGTCAGATTCGTTATCCTGAGAGTATGAACAGGAACATGTGGAAAATGAAAATGGGTGGGAATCCTGACGGGCTCATGTTTTACCACCTCTTTACACTCTAGGTCTCCTATGTGGAAGCAGCTGGGCAGCTCTGAGAGAAATTTTCTTGTTCGTGTTTGGGGGAATTTCTGGGTCGTGACTTATCCCTGAGTTGGATGGAAAGTGTGTCTCAAAATTGTGTTTAACTATTGCACAGAACAGAAATTCTGGCATTGCTCAGTTCTGTCTTCTGCCTATACGGTGAAGCTGGGGAAGGATTAAAAGCTCCTGCCAGTTGCACTGTGCTGGCATCCAGCCACTGCAGGTATGGTTCTTAATGAGAGCTTAATTAGGAATCGAGGGGTTTGCTAGTGATAGAAGGATGCAGATGCCAAGTTCTTTCAATAAAGTGGTGACTGAGGCTCCGCATGCCCATGCTGTGGATGGAGGGGCTGGAGCATGGCATGGCCATGCTGTGTACAGAGAGGGGACAAAGGCACAGCTCCATTCCTCTTCTCAGCAGCACAGTGTGGAAATAACTTGAAAATTAGGGTTTTTTTTATCTGTGGTCTTGCTTGGAGCCTGGCCCACTGATGGGCAGCCTGGCCTGACCTGCTCAAAGGGTGTGTGGCAAGCTCAAGTAGGTTTCATCCAGGAGAAGCCAAGCATTGGGGATCATCCCTGGGTTTTCTAAACCTTTTTCTCATTTGGACTGATGTCAATTTGAAAAGCAAATGCAGCCTTGAAGTGGGAAGTAGGAGTGTCTTTTCTTTGAAATGTCCGCACAAAATATCTCTTTTATTAAAATACACCCTCTATTTTCTTTATCTCTGGAAACGTTTGCCATGTTTGGCCTGAATTCAGGAATGTTTTGGTGCCTGTACCCCTCCCTTTGCCACTGCATATTGTTTGCTAGGAGGAAAACCGTGCCCTTTCTGTTGTGCCTCCTTGGTCCTCCCCTTCCACCCTGCCCTCAGCGGGGCTGGGTCAGCAGCCGCTGCCTCTCACCCTCCCCCTGCCCGCCCCTCTGCCGGCTCCAGCACCCTCTCTGATGCCTCCAGGTGGGCTCTGCCCCGCCACCACATGAAGGTGCAGGACACTGTGATTGCTCCTGGGATTTGGTCCAGCCCATGGTGTGGTACATCAATGCTGCTGGCAAGCCACAGCTTAGCATACGGAGGGGAAAGGGAATCCTCCTTCCTCTGAGGCTGAAGCTGCCCCTCCATGCCTGGGGGCTCTTGCTCGCAGAGAAGAAGGAAACAGACCCCCTCAACTTTAATATTTCTATTATACAGCCTAGATTAATTTTGATTTTCTCTTTTGACTCCTTTGTTGTGTTTATTTCAAGGGATTTCTGTCACCTCCCTTCTGCACTTCAATGTGCCTGAAAAATTTCTGTCAGGAGTGATTGTATGTGACTTGAAGAAAGTGCAATTTTTAAGACTTGAATTTACTTTAAAATCCCCCCTGCTTTATATTCTTTTTTTTCCCTCCAAATTAGCACATCTCCACACTGAAGCTTCCCCATCTGACAATGCTCTGTATGTTATTACTGCCACAAGACCTTTCCACCACTGGGTTTCTCTCTTTTCCATTTCTTGCTATGAATATGAGATTTGCAGGGGATTGCCTTGTGCTGAATATTTGCATCACGGCCCGGGATGCTTTGAGTAAGACTTCAGGGAACTGAAAGAGCCTTGAGATCAAACCAAAATACTCCAGAGAAAATTCCCCAAAGCCATAGACAAATATTTTCAAACATGAATATTTCCACCCTGGCAATTCTCTTTAAATACATTATTGCAACAGACAGCTAGACAGACAGACAGGCAGACACTTACGGACGGCTGACATTAGCACGTAGCTTCTGCTGTCACCTGCAGACGGGCTGCATGGCTGGAATGATGATTTTTCTGTCCTGACTTTGGGGAGTTTCACATATTAGACAGTACTAAAAGAATTTTTAATTGGACTCATTTTACTTTTTTTTTTTTTTTTTTAAATCAGAAATGAGACAATGTGTGTGAACCCCTGTGGTTACTGTAGTCTCAATCAGCTGCCAAATAATATTATAGAAGTTGTGATTGGATTAATGAAAAGCTTGTAACAAAATTATGGTTGTGAGGAAATTATCCTATTGGGGGCTTTAATTTAAACTGGTGGGACAAAATTAGTCCTAAATTAAAGAAAACTACTAATTGTGTAGATATCACTTGGTTGATAAACGCACCAGTAGGATCCTGCTCCCAGGGTGTCACTCTGCTGTTCATAGGGTTTTTGAGAGAAAATGCACTTGGCAGCCTTGCTCCACTTCCTTTTTGCTTTTTCCATGGGTGTCCCGGGCTGCTGTGGGCTGTGAGCTCTTTCTCAGCCCCGTTTCTGAGGTCACCGAGTCCTGGAGGTCCCAAAGGGGAGGAAGGTTTGGACCAGCCCAGGAGTACTCTGTGCTTCCTTGGGGATCCCACCACCTCATCTGGGATGATTCAGCACCTACATGGGTGGGACATACAGACACCACTGGAATATATAGATGAGGTGAGGACTCATTCCTTGTGTCCCATCTGGTGCTTCTCTTTGGTGATGGAGTCATCTAAGCCATGTTCTCCATCAACTGCTGATTCCTTCCCCATGCCATGGGTTTGGGAAGTTGCCTGCAGGGCACAGGCCCCATCTCTTGGTGCTGCCCCAGCAAAACGGGATCCCCAGCTCATGGCCATTCTTCATTTCAGGGCAAAAAAGGGTATTGAAGCCCTGTGTCCCTTCTGGGGACACTGTTCTACAGAAAGAGTTTTTTTATTCTGCTGGAATCAAGGCCAGCCACAGATCTGTAAATGCAAAGCCATGGCTGCACCTCATGCTGGGAAAGGGATATATTGTTGCGTAACTGCCTGTATTTCATTCAGTAACAGATCTCAGTTTTCCCCATAGCTGGGAAGCCCCGAATTTGCCTTTAAATAACCACAGAGTTGCTAGAGGCAGTGAAGCCCATGGGACACCACTCAGGAGAACCTGGGATGGTTTCCATCACACTTTGTACTGCTGATCTGGACATGGTAAGATTTTTTGGGCCACAGCATTAACTGTTGTATGCAGCTCCTGAGCTGTAATATTACTGGGAAATGATATAGTGGGATGTAGCAGGTATTTTGGGTACCAAAACCAGATACATCTTATCAGAAAAATCCCAGGAGGGGAGCCCAATGAGGGCTGAGAAGAGACACCCCCTCTGATGCAAATGACCTGCAAAGCTGAGTCACTTTGAGACAAGACTCCTGATGCCAGCAAAGGGTGTTATTAAGCAAACATTAACCTCCCTGCACTTGGGGACTGGTTAGACTGAGTTTTCCCTCTGTTTCTGAGCCCTTGTTAGATCCCAGTGTTTTGCCTTTGGATCAGACCACATTGCTGGATCAGTTGCCTAAGAAAAAAAAGCTCAGTTTCCTTCTGAAATTTTTCCTCTCCTTTAGGAAAACATTTCTGTCACTTGCATCTGTCATTGGCTTTCAAGTGGTAAATCCCAGGCAAATAAGTCTGTATTTAAAGCAATAAATTCAGTGCCTTTCCTCCGAGGCTTTATTTTCTCATTTAGTGACCTCTTGTTTCCCATGTCTTTGACACTTCTCCGATGTGCATTAAGCAAATATGCAATCATCCTTTCATTCTCTATCTTTGCTTTCATTATGATTTTTTACACTTCATTACATTTCCCTCTATAATTGCAACTCTTTGTTGTCCCAAAGTTTTATGGCTCTTTCCTCTCTTCTCTCACTTCTTGTGTTTCTTTGTTATTCACGTTAGCTTTTCTTGACACTGTGTTCCTAGTACATTTTCTAGATGTCAAGCAAACTCTTAGGCCTAAACTCATTTATCTTTGAACACTTTCCATTTCCACTTCAGTGCTCTACCCCAATGAATTCCATCCAGAACTTCCTTTTCTTCTAAAATTGGCTGTGCTGCTTTTATTCAGCGTTCTTTCCTTTTTAGGCCTAATTATAAATCCAATTGTTCGGTCCTGAATGCTTCCACGAGCTCCATTCATTTCCGAGCGCAGTTCTGCCATAACTGCTGGGAGAAGTTGCGTGACTGCCCTTTCAAAATCCTAATATGATCTAGATGAGAAAGAGATGTTATTTCTAACTTAAATTAAACCCTAGCGCAAGATCAGGCTGTTAAGTCTCTCCTCTCTGCTCTGCTGTCGCCGCGTTTGCCCACCCTGGAGAGTTTAGAGGATGCTCTGTGGTGGGTTTATGGAGTTTTCCCAGCCCCTTGCAGTGCCCGGAGAGCTGCCGGGAGAGCCGGTGGGCACCGCTGTGCCTCCCGCCGGCTTCAAGTGCAGAGGTCTGTTGAAATCCATCAAAAGCAGTTCAAAGTGGCAAATGGCTGATTCCCACAAACATAAGCCACTTCTTTCCTTAGGAATTTTTACTGTCTGCTTGAATAAATGGGTGCTAATTTGTAAGCAAAAAGTGCCAACCTCACTGGCTTAATTTTGAGCATCTTTGGGATAAGTGGTCAACGGGAAACGCTTGGTTTTTTGCTGCAGCTCTCCATCTGGGATTGATTAGCTGTTTTGGCTGAATTTTGGCTCTGCAGCTGGGCAGGGGTTGGCACAGTATAGCTGGGGCTTGTGTGGGAACAAACCACCTGTGGTTTGTGAAGCTCACTCTGCTCCCAGACTCTATGGGACGCTCAGCTGCTCAATCTCAAGGCAAACCATGCCCACTGCTCCACAATCAAATGCCTAACTCGTCTCGAGTCTTACACATTCAGATTTTAGGAGCAGCTAAATGACATGATGGGTTTGATGTATGTCTAGATACCCTCTGTCAACATTTGCCTTTAGGTATGTTCAGATATTTAGGTGTTTCTTAGGTAACTTCATCTGGGTAGAATGTTCTCAGAACGGGAACACACAGGGCTGGGAGCACAGTCTGAAACAGAGAACAAATGGGAACATGATGTTCTTCCAGCGCAATTATTGGCAGTATTTGCTAAGCTTTCAAATGGGCAAGTTAGAACTCTTCTTTCTCCTCCAAAATTGCCCTTGGAGGGAGGTGATGACAAAGAGAATTGCTCTTGTCCACTTACTTACTTATTTAACCTGATTTCTTTCTATTCTTTGAGCATCTGGAAAAAACCATGAGTCATGTGATGACAAAGTTCATCCTTTGTTCTGAGATGAAGAGGAGAATGTCAGTGACTTTGCAGACCTGGGGCACTCTGTCAACCCCAGCTAACGTGGGGGCTGCTCTGCTTTGCTCTCTAGGCATCGCTTTCTCTCGAAAGCCTGAGAAAAAGCAACCACTGCTGCCTGTGTGTCTTCTTGTGACCTTTCAGATGGGTGCTCAGGCAGTGTCAGTAGGCTCAGACGATGCACAGTGATGGACCTGCAGGAATGTGGGTGATAGCAGTGACACTGAAGTGTGTATATAGGATTGTGCACTCCATTGAGAGTTGGTGATGTGGAGATCTGTCCATGTTGCAGGACCACTGGTGCAGCTGCAAGCAGGTAAACTGTTTGGTCTCTGATTCCCACCTGTAAAACAGAGCAGATATTGCTGGCTGCAGAGTATGTATGGTGATATAGCTGTATGATTTATAAGCTGTGAAGGTTTTAAGATGCCTCACAAGTTGCTCAGTGTTGAGCTCAGTGGTTCAAAGAGGACTTGCCTTAGTTCAGCTTTGACGGTGCAAAGCAGAACTGCCATGAGTGGAGGGGACAGACACTATCAACATGCACAAACGCCCACATCAGGGTTTGGCACATGTCACTGTGTGTCAGTGCCATATAGCACACAGTTATTGGGGGTTTGGGAATAAAGCTCCTTTGGCCTCAGAGGAACCCCATCACCCACCTTGTGGTTCATTGCATTGGGCTCTTGCTTTTTGTGGAAGAGGGGTTCAGACTGCACAGATACCAGATAAAGTCTTACAAATTACCTGACCTTAGAGCCTGAACCCTTTAGAAATCTGTACATTGATTTGTTAAAAAATTTGGCATTTTGTTAAAGAACTTTTCTAGGTGAAGCTATTGAAATGGTGACCTTCACCAGCAATTGCTTCGTTATGATGTGGCAACTGTCCTCAGAGGGTGCAGGGGCATGGCTGGGGTATTTAGCTTGTGTCTGAAATTTTTTTTCCAGTTTGCAGAACCATTAGTTTTTTGGAAGCTTTAACACATCCATGTATGTGGTCAGGCATCTTTCTCCCTCTAAAATATCTGACAGAGGGAGACTGTCAGATATTGCAGCGACTTCTCTGTATCAGACCAGTCACAGGAGGTGACCTGAAAAAACTAGCCATGATATACCATATCATGTAAATAAATAGATCTTGCAGTGTTTCTAAGCATCTACAGTCAGCTGTGTGCCAGAGGGATATGACTGGATTATTATAGTCTGTCATTTCAGCATGAATTCAGACTCTACATTAAGTGAGTATTATTTAATAGTCTGGATGAAGCCTTTGGAGCTGTTATTATCTCTCATGTAAAAGCATGCTAAAGCAATTTGAACAGGAAAATCATCTTGGTGATGGGCTGTATCCCTCCAGTGGAAAGGCTGAGGGGTTTGTACTGTGCCACACCAGAGCCACCTGCCCTTTGGAATGGGAACTGGGAGGCATACAGACCCCCAGGATGGCACAGGGAGGGATGTCAGGCTGCTCTGAGGAGTGGCCAAGCTGCTGCCTGGACTGTGGCCATGTGCTTAGGGATGCAAAGCAAACAGCTCTGCTTGGGAGGACCAAAAAGTGAACAAGTTTAACACAAACTTTAGAGCTGCTGTCAGCAAATCTGCACGGGCTGAATTTATCAGTCGCCTCATTGCAGTGTGACACGGCTGTGCTGCCTGCAGGCTGCAGATGTGTGGGGAGCCAGGAGCCCTCTGTGCAGGGAGAAGTTTCAAGGTCCAAAGAGAAACCTCTGGGGAGCCACTGGGTTTGGAGGGTCATGAGCCATGGGGAGGGGCCGTACAGCCACACGGTCAACAGGCAGTACAGAGCCGTGGAGAGCGAGTTGGGAGGAGGGATAAAATCCCACACAGCACAAAGCTGCTTGGTGGGGATGCTGCTCCAAGAGATCTTCATGTCAGGGCAAAACAGGCCTTTAAATTTCCATAGAATTAGGTTACGTTTGTACTCCTTTTCCATCCCTGTATCCTGCACCGTGCCTGGCTCCGGTCACAGCCGACAGGCCACCCTTGGAAGCAGGCAGCAGTCCCCAGCTGCCTCATGATATTATTATTTTTTTATTCACCTCTATAAAAGTCTGTGATTCATTAAGTGCTTGTCATGTTTTGATACGTGGATCAGGAACTGATCAATAGCCAGCCAAATTTAATAAAAAGGAGCTCTATTCTTGGGAAATGAGCTTGTTACCATGCCAACTATCGATCTTTCCTGACAGGCTCTGTAAGTCACAAAATGGGGTCCTGATGGGTAGGTTGGTCTCCCTCCTAGGCTGCCAGGAAGGACACTGGTTGCAATATCTGTATTTAAAAGACTTTGGGGACAACCTTTTTTTTTAGTACTGTCTCTGTGTAATTCTTTGGCAAAGGTTCTAGATTGCCTGGAGCTAGCAGAAATCATCTAAAGGCTTTATTTTTCTTACTGGCTTTAAGATGGTGGAAGTAAAAGACAGAAGGTAGCAGAGCTCTGGTTCTGTGCCCAAGCCTCAGAGAGTGAGGAGGGATGGAGCCCAATGCCAGCCCACATGCCCTCCTTGCTGATGCATGATGTGCCAACCATCACCTGGTCCCTGTCTGCAACAACATCCCAGCATTTTTCCTCGCAGTGCTAACAACTTAACATGAGCCAAATGGTGTTAAATGGCACTGAAACGATCCCCTCTCACGTGGATTTCTCCAGATGACCATGGTAAGCAGGACAGATTTACATTCTGAGGAAGAGAAATGTTCTGCAGAATCCCACAAGTCCCAGAGTCATTCCACTGAGCTTCCCTCACTGATGCTGAGTCCTTAAATTCAAAGTCTTGGCATTGCAGCTACTCTCTGGCATGGATGACGCTGAAAGATTTGGGAGCAAGAGCTGAATATGGACAAGGAGGAAGGGGTTTATCAAATGGAATTAACGTGTCCCCAGGGTTTTGATTTGCCTGATCTGTTTCCATGTTCCTAGATTTTTATTTCCACTTTTTTCTCCTTTTATTTCTCAGAAGGAGGGTGGGAAGGGCTGGCTGTGTGGGGACTCTAGTCATGTCCTTACTCCTGCCAGTGACTGCATGCCAGCCTGGCACAAAGAGGCGGCACTCTTCAAGTCCAAAACATGCCATTTTTGTCTCCTACTTCAGGGCTTGGTCCAAAATACACTGGGATCAGTGGAGGCAGATTTCAGTATGATCTGGCCCTTTCCCAGTCCAAGCCGTTTAAATACAGTGGCCCACGTCCTTCTCCAGGACAGCCACTTAGGTCAGTGTTCGAGGTTTTAAGAATGGATGGTGAATTTACTTGTGGCAGCAAAAGATTTACAGGCTTAGAAAATCCAATTCTGTGCAGTCCCTGAGACTTTCCTAGAACAGTTTATCCAGCCAGAAGTGAGACAAAGATAGAATTTGATGTGGAAGATCTCGCCAGAGTCACCTGGGGAGAGGGAGATCAGTGTAATTCCTTCATGGCTTTTCCAGATTGTGTACTGTAAAAAGCTTATTATGATTTGACCTTGACATTAGCCCTGCTTTGAAGGGAGGGCTGGACTCAAGACCTCCAGAGGTCCCTCCCAGCCGACATTTTTCCATGGTTTCATCTCAGAGATGCGACGTAAGGTCTAACCCCAAAAAGAATATGCAATTAGCTTTTTTGGATGTTCAGACTCGGAGGGCAATAAGAAGGGACATCAAAACCTGAATATTTCTCTGAATTATTTATGTATCTGAGGTGCCAGAGCAGTCCTAGTTGCTTGTCTGTGCAAAACAGAGGTTATCGAACAATGCCGTTTTCTGCAGAAAGGTTGCCAGCAGCAAGCTCCTGTCCTTATGTCTGCTCTTGGCATTCCTCCTCCTTGGGTTTAGCTCATCTCAAACTCCCTGTTTCGAGTTTCTTTCCTTCAAAGATTTTTCTCTTGTAAAAATCAGTGGACATCTCCATAGGGTTCATTAACATGAGTTGTTTAATGCAATGTTGTTTTTGTTTAATGTTTGTCCTTTCAATATACAACAAAAGTGAAAGACTTCAGTAAGGTTTGACAGAACCATAGAATTGTTTAGGCTGAAAAAGCCTTCTAAGATCATCAAGTCCAACTGTTAACCCAGCACTGCCAAGCCCACCACAGAACAATATTCCCAAGTGTCACATGTAGGTCTTTTAAATACCTCCAGGAATGGTGATTCCACCACTGCCCTGAGCAGCCTGTGACAGGGATTGGGAACCCTTTCAGCGAAGAAATTTTTGGTAGTATACAATCTAAACCTCCCCTGGCAGAATTTGAGGCTATTTCCTCTTGTCCTGTCACTTGTTATCTGGGAGAAGAGACTGATGCCCACCTGGCTACAACCTCCTTTCAGGTAGTTTTAGAGAGGGATAATGTCCTTGCTGAGCCTCCTTTTGTCGAGGCTGAGCCCACCCCAGCTCCCTCAGCTGCTCCTCACCAGACTTTTGCTCCAGACCTTCCCCAGCTCCATTGCCCTGCTCTGGACATGCTCCACTGTGAAGCCCCAGCCTCTCTCTGTCCCTGCAGTGTCTGCAGTGCCGTGGCACGGCAGCGAGTGCGGTGCAGGGGCAGGGTGGGGCAGCTCTTTCAGCTAAATGCGTGCGTGCCAGATTGAGCTTGAAATAAAAGTCTTAAAACTGAGTGAAAATTGTTCTGGGGAATGGATTGCCGGATCAGATCCCGGCAGCCTGGGCAGAGCCTGGCAAGATTTAAACTCAGTACCGATTGTATATGCTGTTTCTCTTGCAGTTGTACTGGAGCCTTGAAGACAAATGAGACCGGTTGGGTGCCAACAGCAGTGCAAGGCGGATGCGAGAGAAGGGCCCCTCCGAAGCCGCAGGAGGAGGAAGCCGGCAGTGCTCCTGCCGGTTCGCAGGAGCAGAGATGTGATTCGTGCAGCCCCTGCCCCGCTCCACCAGTCCAGCTTCCTCCTCTCCACCAGCAGACACAGAAACAGCAGGCTCAGGAGGAACACAAGCAACGGGATAACCAACTTGGAAAATACCTTTTGCTTCGGAGAGAGGGCTGCCAAAAGCAAAGCCCAGCTGGACAGCGTTAGCTCTGCGGGCAACTGCCTTCCCCGCCTGCCGGCAGCGAGAGGCTCCGCGTCAGCACGAACCCAGCGAGGGGAGAGAGACCGAGCTCGGGGCTGCCAGAGGGTTTGTGTTTTCCCATACTCGAGGAGCCTGCTCTGCAGTTTTTAAGATGTATCAACAGCCTCACATCACATCGTGATTTGGCTGCGAGTTGAGCCGAATGTGTATTATCTCGGCGGGCTCATGGTGTGCCTCTCCTCCCCGTCTAATATATACGAACGTACAGAGAGAGCTTTACGGACAAGATAATGTGTTTTGGCTGCATGAGATAGTTATGTTATTCCTATAGGAGAAAAATTTAATTTTGCTCTGAATTCCACTATAACCAGACAGCTCCCCATTTATATCCTGGGTAATAAATCAAAGCAACATGAAGTCTCGTGCACAGAACTGAAGTGGTTTCTTAAAGCAAATTTGGCAGGAAATAAGTCATCATCTTAAAAAGCCAGTCAACTCCTCATATCCAGTATATCACCAGCTCTCTGCTAAAATCTGCAAACAGGCACGAAAAGTCATTTTGTAAAAGAGAGAAGTCTGTGAGATAGGCCATATGACTCTGTTATCAAAATCACACATATTTTTGTCAGAAAAATCACCCCATGAGTTCCCTTTGACTCACGGGTTTGCAGTGCTCAGGTACTCGAATATCACAAGGGCCATTAGTTTGGCTTCCTACAAAAATAAGGTCATGTTGGTATCACATCTTCCCTCTGTGCTTTTCCTCTTTCTTCTTGCCTCCTCAACTGATGTTGTTATTTTTCTCTTAAGTTTTTTTTTTTCAACGTTCTTTTCTAGTTTCTATTTCTATCGTGCAAACATGCCATGGCAAAGCGATGTAAGCAATGCATAATATATTTAGAGTAATGTATGATTCATTTACTAGCTTTCATAATTAATGTGGCTGTGTTTTACATACACAGTATTTCCTGCATGCATTTTATGATGTGAACACTCTTCAAAATCTAATAAAATGTAATCCGTTAAAAACAATAGTACTAGTCCTGTGATGAGATTTGTGTGCAGTTTTGAGGCAGCTGCAGAAAGAACTTGGTGCCAAGTTTCTATTCTAAACACCAATTTTAGCTGCTGTTTTATGCAGCTCCTAATTCTCAAGGTGGAAATTATTATAATTATATATATTATTATAATGATACCACAGTTGGTCTGGGTATCATCTGCTTCCATACCCTGAAAACTTTCCAACCCAAATAATTTTTCTATGTGCTCTCTGGAGTTCAATAACAAACACAAAATGATGCTGAATTTATGAAGAAACCTATAAGAACTATACAGCAGCATCTGTAAAATATCAACTAAATAATACCAACATCTGTACCTCCAAAAAATTCATTCTTGCCTGGGGTTTGGTGAAGCTGTGAGCACACACAGCCTTGTCCTCTGGACCCTGTTTCCAAAGATATTTATACATCTAATTGCCATCAATATCAGCAAGAGTTGGGAACTGTTGGTGAGCTCAGGCCAGGCACTTTCTTTACACATTATTCTCTTCCTAGTTAGGACTTGAGGACCCCATGATTTTGCACCCCACGGAGAAGAAAGCCAACATAGCCATTTGTGTGCTGTTCCTTAACACTGTTCCAGGCAGATGGATTTGGGAGCATTTAGTTTCCTATCTTTGCTCTAAAAATGTGTGTAAAATAATTTCCAACAACAAAATCTACACTTATGAACAAAGCAATCTCACAAGAATACACTGAAAATTCAAAATTGATATAAAAATGGATATAATTTCCAGTGTAAAGCCAGAAATCCTGTTTCCATCTCTCCAGCTACCACGCTGATATTTTGCCTGCTTTCCTCCAGCTGAATCCTCATTAAAGCCAACGGACAAAAATCATCGCAGCTCGATGGCAGTGTGGGGTTGGGGGGTTTTATTTTTGCCTGGGCTCTGAGCCCCAGGTTGGGTGAGGGCAACCGAGTCAGCCCTGTGCTGCTGGTAAGTCACCACACCTGAACAGCACCTCCCTGCTGCCTCGGCTGCCAGCAGGTGAGGAGCATCACTGGCTTGAGTACATTAAGCCTGGCCTTGGGACTCATGGGACTTGCAGAGGGTGGTAGTGTGTAGTAGGGAAATGCAGTGTTTTTTGAATGCTGCTGGTTGGAACAGCAAGGGGACAGCTGAACCTCCTTCACAGCTCCATGCCACTGGCTTTGCTGGACTCACATCAGGCTTTCTCTGAGGTATTTGACATGCAGATTTTCAAAGGTATTTAAGCTCTGCTTTTGGGCTTTTCTGTGTCCCTCCTGGTGGATGGTTCCCTGTTGTGGCAGCTGCCTGTGCTGCATGGGCAGCTTCGGTGTTTCTCCATGAGTGGGATTTGTGCAAACCTACAGGTGACTTGTGCAGTGGCTGGCGCTGCTTCTGGATGGGAAATATGTGTTCTTGGGAATGGCAGGGAATGCTGCTGTGCTGGGAGTAGCATAGACACTAGATATGACACTAGAGGAAAGGTGGAACACTTTTCATGTGGAAAAAGGAGCTAAAGACTTTAAGGCCTCAAATCCTACCTTTTAGATAAATCAATACTGCTGTTACTGTTGGGAAACAAAATCCGGTGCTGCAGCAGCACAAGTCTGAAGCACTGTATCCCTGTCTAGGGTGAACCTCCTGCTCCTTGTGTCATCTCTTGGGCTGGGGGGTGACACCCACCCCAGTGCACTCAGCCTCTCATTTGGCCACCTCTTGCCCTGCAGGCTGCAGGGGGGTGTTGTGGCAGTGAGGAGGTTTATTTTAGTGTTGTGTGTACTGCTTGGATCTTTGGGCTGGAGGCTAGCTTTTATTTTTTTGCCACATCTTGGGTCAGTTTTGTGTGCATATTTTTACGGAGCTGGAATGATTTGTGCCTGTTGGCCTTAATGAAGATTCAGCTGGACAAAAGCAGGCAAAATATCAGACTGGTATCTGGAAACAGAATTTCTACCTTTACACTGGAAATTATATCAATTTTTTGTATCAATTTTGAACTTTTAGTTTGGGTTTGGGGTGGTTTTTTTGTTGTTTTCTTCTTTATTTCTGCTAAATTTCTTCTTTTATTTCTGCTAAATTCATTACTTAGAGAAGAAAAGCCATGTAAATATATCTTTGTAAAGATTCAAGAAATGTAAAGCTATGGAGGGGGAAGGGATCAAGCAGCAGTACTATTTTGAATCACCAATATTTGAAAACTGTGTTTTAAGTGAATTTTTTCGATATTTGTGACCTGGTAATGACTTCCACCTCTGGGAGGCTTGTGCAGGTGATGTTAAAGCTTTCCTGGCACCTGCATCTGTACCTGTTTTGCTGCAATCCCAGCACGTGCTTCTGCCACAGGGTCCTTTCTCCTTCTGCCAACAAAGCTACAGCGGGGGGGATGGGGGGGGAGGCAAAGCCCCCCTGCAGGCAAAGCCCCTCTGTCATACCTGTGCAGAGCCCCTGGGGGTGGCAATAGTGGCCATATTTCTGACTTAAGGCATGTGACAATGGGAGCTGCACTGTGGCTTATGCTGGCACAGGAGAGGGGCTTGGCCTCGGTGTGGGGAGCTGCCCCTCAGCCCTCGCCTGCCAAGTGCCACATCCCTCTCCAGTTTCAGGGCCTCTCACGTCCTAAATGGGTGAGAACCTCCCAGGACACGTGCCTACCCAGGTGGCCTCCTGTCCCCAACAAGTGACCTCCAGCTGGGAGGTCTCTGCCCCTGCAGCCACCTCCTCTCAGCATGGTCCCTACCCAAGCTCCCAGAGGGCACCGGCTCCAATTCTGCCTTCTGGCAGTTGGGTGAAGGGGCAGAAAGTCCCCTTTGGGGGAGGTTTAGGGAGGGAGGAACAGCGATAGTCTGCCAGGAATGCAACAGCAGCACACGTGCATGGTCCCATCGCGTGACCTGACACTGCGGCCAGAAGGGCTGAGACGTGATCAATGCGTCGGTTTTGAGACGGGTCAAAGACACAAGTTTTGGGGGGAAATGGAGAAATGCAGGATAAATACTGGACCTGGGAGACCTGTCCTCTGCCTGATGTGGAGGAAAACTCCCAGAGGCATTCAAAGGAAATGGCTAATTACTGCTCGTGTGGAGCGGGGGACACCACACGATGGGTGAGGCTGGAAGCTGCAGCCCCCTTTGCGGGGTGAGGAAGAGCAGAGAGGGGCAGGGGGCTGGGGCACCGCCGGCAGCACCCCCTGCTCGCCCCCCACCTCCACCAAGTGCCGTGCCGGGGGTCCTGGGGTGGGGTGACTCTGGGGCTGTGGGGTGCTCCGGCCACGCTGCGGGGGAGCGGGATGGGCGAAGGGGTTTTCAGAGGGTGCGGAGCGACAGCGGGGATACCCGAGCGCTTCTTCCTGTAGGGAAAATGGGGCGAGCACGGGGTGACTCCCAGCATCCTAAGTGCCAGGTATTGAAAGGATATAAAATATACATATTTAATTCCCCCCCCCTGCACCGGTAAGCCCCTGGTTCATTTGCACCTATAATTCTCGTTTCAGGGCGGCTGCGATGCAGCAGCCGCTGCCACCTCTGAGTTAAACGAGAAATAAAATAGAAATAAATGCCCACATCTGTCCCTTTTTTAAGGCAAACGACAAAATATTTTCGTGTCTTCCGGTCCGACCAGATTCACACAAAGACCGTGGGGAAACCCCAAAGTCTAGGGGAAACTTGCAGCTCTCTCCCGCAAACGAGGGGTGCGAAATCTTGTGAGATAAAATTATGGAGCAAAGTGGAGGATTTCTGTAAACAGGTTGAGCATCGAGAGCCTTTGTGCCCAGGTCGCCTTGGAAGGCGGAGGGGCGTCGGGGATGCCCGTCCCTCCCAGCTCCCCTTTCTGTGGTCTCTGACATGGTCATATCAAAGGACCTGCCGGAGAGATCTGTGCACAACCGAGTCACCGAAATTTGCGCCTGGGAATAGAGACAAAACCAGACGATACCGATATATTTGAACGGCGAAATATTGGGTGTATCTATATATGCGCGATGCCAGAGGTTTGCACAGTTTGTCTGGAAACGCCCGGAGTTGGAGGCGGAGGAAACGGAGGGGGGTTTAATATAAACCATTTGCCACTTGTCTTCAATTAGGGTCTAGAAATGTAACAAAAATAAGAAATGCCTATTTTTTTTTATCACTTGCCGTCGGGATCAAGAGGTAAACGCGGCTCCCCTGCAACGATTGCGGGGCTTCGTGTAGAAAGGGAGAGAAGAAATACAGGCGGTATTGTCGCGATGCAGGTCGGCGTGGCTCGTGTCCCGGCACACACCTCGCCGTGTTCTGCTGCTTCTCCTGGAGCCGGACCCCCGACGGGCCGCGGGACCCCCGCGGGGCTCAGGAGCGGCGAGACGGGGAGATCCGGCTCCGGGGGCCTGGGGGCTTTGCAGCGCGGCTCCCCTGAATCGGGCGTCTGAAGGTGGGCACGTTACAAGGTGGGGTGTCCTCATTTTTTTTTTCCCCAGTGCTAGCGGGGTAACCCCAAACCGCCGGGGCTTCTCCCTCTCCGGGGTGGGCAGCCACGGAACATCCTGTCACCCTGTCCCAGGCAGGTGATGGGCACCTTGGAAGCCAATACCACCGCCCGCGCCCCGATATTCCCCTCATCTTCGTGTCCATGACAAATAGAGGCAACATGAGACAGGAAAGAGGGAGGAGGGAGAGAAAGACACGCACACAATAGCCAGGCAAATTGTTAGCAACTCCGGCGTTTGGGGAAGCCGGTACTGTAACTGCGCTCTCATCAGTCACCGCTCCTGAAGTGATAGTAAAAATGCATCTAAACATGCTGCGGTGTGATATATAAAAGCACAGCGGGATGAGCTGCTTTCCAAAAAGGGACCTGGTGATTGGATATGCCTTGGCATGATTGACAAGAGCTTAGTTTGGTAAAGAGAAGACACGCAAGCTTTCACAGCGGGATTTCTTTTCTAAAATATATCACACTAGCCTTTGAAAAGCGCCGCACACTATAAGGGAAATAAGGTTGCTTTATAGTGCGCTGACATTTC